ACACCTGGTCAGGGTTAGATATTTAATAATTAAGGAGAACTTTCTAAATATTTTAGAAAAAAATAGGATTGCCAGAACTCTAAAAATCTAATTGAGCTTGAAAATCATGCATTCAGTCCACAACGAATATTCAAGTTCAAATGAAATTCTTCCAGAGGCAGAGAAGCAATGTGGATATTTTCATCAAAATGGTGTAGAATTAAATTGAGCCAAGTGTGAATTTTTTTTCTTCTAAACACTCAGACTGAAAGACAATAGGAGAAAAGAGTAGAGGAATTAAGAAATAATTATTTGAAACCATGGAAGATGGAATTTAATTTGCACAAGAGGGTAGTAGTTAAGAGAGAAGACTAAATCCAAAGAACTAAATGTTCTGAAAAGCTCAAGACAGATGTGGAGGTGCTAATGGAGTAGAATGAAGAGCTGAATGTATGACTATAACATTTCAGTGTAGTTCTTCTGAATATTCACAAGGGCCAGGATGAAGGTATGATGGTGAATACTAACGTAGAGAAAATGTAAGGGTGGTGGACATGAGGCTTGATGGGTTACCATTCCCTCAGGTGATGGCTTCTTTGCATACACTGAGCTCAACTGATTTTCAGTGCATATTGTCTATAATTCCTTATAAGCCACTTATCAAATTGTAGTGTACCACAAATATATAGTCATATTTAAATATGAGAGGGTATTCTTTACACTACAATTCAGTCTGGTTTTTGAGTCATCCAACTCCTTTATTTAAACATATTAACTTAAAAATATATTTTCAAAAGGAGAAAACAGGTGGGTTTCTTAAACTAGCCAGAATGCCCAGAAAAGTTCCTCATTTGGTTTTCTAATTATCAGGCACAGAAGGAAGGTTTGGATTGAAGTTTTAATTTACCAGAGCTCTACAGGATTAGTTTTTCTACATGCAATCCAGTATTTGACAGTTGTTAAATATTTGCTTTAACCATGAATTTATTTTGAGTACAACACAATTGCACCTACTATCTCTGCATGACTCCTTTAGGAATTGTCATACACTCATAATATTTAACTAGAACAATGAATGATTTAAAAATAGAAAATTCATTAAAAATAGAAAATGCACACATTGCTGTACTCCCTTGGAAGCACATAAAGTTTTGACAGAAAGTGGGACAAATGTGGTTGTGCAAAGATCTTCAACACAATTTTTAAAATAACCCTTTATTTTTATTACCTTAAAATATATTGGGCTCTTCAGCAGGATCTCTTTGGAACTCACACTCAAAATCCAATAGTGTATAGCAGGCCTATGATAATGGATCCTAATTCTCTTCCTCATGTAATCATAAGACTTTATTATACAAATAATATATTGATCCACATCTTTAAATTTGTAGACACATAGCATTCATATGTATGTATGTATTCACTATGCAAATGTATTATCTATCTATCTATCTATCTATCTATCTATCTATCTCATTCTAGCTAAATATACTTATACAGCTACTCTGGACTTGGTTTATGAAGGTGACACTGTGATCATCTATTGAAAAATTGTAGGCTGGTGTTGTGGCTTAGTGGTAAAAGCGCTTGCCTGGCATGTATGAGGCACTGGGTTTGATTCTCAGCACCACATATAAACAAATGAATAAAATAAAGGTCCAAACATATATTAAAAATGCAATAGATTATATTAAATGAGAATCATTCTCTTGCCCACTTTCGTTCATGACTAATGAGTAAGGTAGGTGATGGCAACAACTATTCAGTGTACAGAAGGTTTATGGCTGGAAATAAAGATACAGTTCATTTTTCTGATGACAAAGTAACAAATGTTCAGTCAAGGAAGGTGAACTTGGTGATAACTTCTTGATATAAATCAACTGGGACAAGCATTCAGTCATTCATGAAACATTGGTTGAAGATCCACTCAGTGAACCTTCACTGGTCAATCACTGAAGAGCATGAGCAAGACATACATTTTTCTATATTGAGCAATACTTGCATCTTAGAGATGATCTCACTTGGTCATAATGTATAATCCTTTTAGTGGTCTGTTGAATTAGGTATGCTAGTATTTTGTTGAGAGTTTTTCCATGGGTATTCTTCAGGAATATTGACCTGTAGTTTTTGTTACTTGTGTCTCTTTCTGACTTTGGTATCGGGGTAAAGCCAATTTCATAAAATTAGAGGTATTCCATCCTCCTCCATCTTTGAAAGGGAAGAATTTACATTAATTAATCTTTAAATGTTTGGTTGAATCCACCAAGGAAGACATCTGGTCCTTGGCTTTTTATATTAGGAGGTTTGGGGTTACTGTTTGAATATTCTTTCCAGTTAAGAATTCTCTTTAGATTTCCTGTTTCTTTATGGTTCAGTGTTGGTAGGTTGTATGTTTCTAGAAATTCATCCATTTTTTTCTAAATTATTCAGAGTAGACTTATAATAGTCTCATGATCTTCTTTCTTCCTGTGGTGACAGTTGTAATGTCTTTTTTCATTTCTGACTGTTTTGAGTCTTTCCTCTTGTCTTAATCTAGCTAAAGTGTTGTCAATATTGCTATTCTTTTCAACCAACCAACCAACTCAATTTCATTGCTTTTTTTCTCTTATTTTCCTATTTCATTTATTTTTGCTCTAGTTTTTATTATTTCCTTCTTTATTTAAGTTTTGGGCTTTGTTTTTCTTCTAGTTCCTTGAGACATAAAGTTGTGTAATATTTTTTTTCATGTAAAAAATTGAAAGAAAATAATTGTATATATTATTGGGGCATCATGTGATAATTCAATACATGTATACAATGCATAATGATCAAATCAGGTTCTCTCTTAATGTAGATGTTTATTACTCTGTTAACTATATTTACATATAGTTAATGTAAATGTAGCTTACTATGTAGCTTACTATTAAATGTAACTTACTATTAAAATTATTTGACCTTTGTAAGTAGGTTGAAATTTACCACATCCCAAATCAATGGTTACATTGTAATAGAACATGATCTCTCATGAGGTCCTCCACTTTAAAAAAGCAAAAACAGCAACAAAAAATTAATATAGGAGAAAGCAATGAAAGGGCTGCTTGTAAGGCTTTTAATCAGCTATTACCTTCCCCTCTCTAATGGTTAGTCAGAGCTGAATTAGATTAGTGGACACTCACAGTACTAGGAATTAGTGGCCTGTCACTGGGGAAAGAGAATGCAGTTTATGATTTCCCAGTCTTTCACCTATTTTAGTCAAACAATATTTATTAATTGCCTATTCAAAATATATTCCACGTACTGCTGAAGCTAATCATAAAAAGATAGCAAAAGGTCCTTTACTTGTGTCAAGTTTATTTCCTAGTTGTGGGCAACAGGCTATATAAAAGCAAGGAAATGAAGAAACCAGGGGGAAATCACAGTCAGGACTGTAGTTGTCACAGTGGGTGAAGGCAAGAATTGCATTGCTCTGTTTTTGATGTGAGTGATCTGAATTGCTCTGAGTACCACATACATTTTCTCTCAGTTGTAGGGAATCAAGCCCACCTCCCCTTAGGCTTACCTTCCTCCTATGGAGATGCACACTTGGTAAGATTTAAAAGGGTTCCTGGCTGGCACTCTCCCTGTGACCATCATCTGGTCAAAAGGCAGCACTCATGTGCCCTTTGTTCTAATCAATTCTGGGAACCAGTCCATTCCTGACTTCTGCTCCTCTATCAGAGCATCTTACCCCTTGCCTTTAAGCATTTCCAGGTGTCAGTTTGTGTCTCATGACTCCAGGAGACATAGGTCAAGATCACCAAGTCTTACTCAAGTTTCTCCAGCTGGGCAGAAAGACGACCCATCCCTTGCCCTGACATGACCTTTCTTCTTTAGTGTCTGTTTCTAGGACAGGAGCTCTTAGTACAACATTAATTCCTCTGAAAAAAATAATTCCTATTCTCCAATGCCTCTCTTGGTGCCTAACTCCTTTTATAGATTATAGGTTGTGGTTAACTAAGAGCTGTAAAATTAGATTGTCATTTCTTACAAGTCTTGCACAGGTGTCTAGCATCTTACTTTCGAATGTTGAAGGACATTGAAATATTATTCACTATAGTCCCTGGACAGAATCTTTAGATTGAGTCATCCAAGAAGGCTTCTACTGACATGAAATAATGAGCTTTGTAAAGATAAGGGGCAAGATCATTATGAAGAGAGGAAAATGGTCATAGAACAGAAAGCAGAGTGTGGGGAAAGGAGAGAGATAAGTCAGAGAATAAGTCAGGAACTAAGGGATCATGGGTTTTATAGACCAGAGAAATGTATAGTTTTTGAAAGCTGATAGACTGGAAGAAGGAGGAAAGGAAAAAGAAGAATTGAGACTCAGTCACTAAGTCCATGCAATTTTATTACAAAAACAAAGAAAAAGTAGGAAAAGACTCCTGCTCTCTTATGGAGAGGAAGTATGTAGCATCACATCAGGCCAAGAAGAGACTTTTAATCTCATGCCACTAAACTTTTACACAACATATGCTACTGTATTATCAAGTTCAAATGTCTACTTTCTGAAAAGAAAACATTTTATTTAGCTACTTAAGATGTTTAAATTCACACTATTTCCTGGGGACCTTCCTTTGCCATCTTACCAGCTGCCATCTTACCATATGTGTTTGGTTTTCAGCCCCTGATGGAGAAAGCAAGGGGTTACAAATGGTCTTGTGTGTTTTAAAATGACTTCAAGTGAGCACTGGCCACATGACTCAAAGAGGGCATTGAGAATTTTCATTCTAGATCTCAAGTGTTGGAAGCTCAGATGAGGCAGTGGCTATCCTTGGAGAGGGTGTGTTCTCTCTGAGGTTGTCCCTCTTGACACAGGAAATGTCAGCAAGAGGGTTACAAGTGTATATTTGTTATAATGAGTCATAGGCAAGGCTCTAGAGGGTAGTCACAAGATAAAGAAACAGAGTGCAATTTGCCCAAAGAAATTAGAGCATGGAGCATAGGAGGAAGTCATGAGATTTCATGCATTAAAGAAGGAATCCTCATTTTCTCTGATTTTTCAGAATGTGGACAATTGAGGAGCCTGGGACTATAGAAGGTTGTGAAACCAGGAGAAGAGATGAAAAGCAGAAACAATAAATACTGAAGCACTATTTTGGATCATGGATGCTGGAGCCAAATTTCCTGGGTCAAACCTGGCTCCTCACTGATGACTTGCATGGTCAACAAGTTACTTATGCTTCTTGCCTCAGCTTCTTAACTGTGAATGGGGATAACATTGCTCTGTGCCTTCTGCTTTGAAGAGAATTCAATGAGTTCATATGTATGGAGCACCTAGAACATGGTCCACACTGCGTAAGCACAGTGCAAACATAGTTATTAAGGATCCTTGGGATCACACTGAAGTGGCTTTCCTTAAGTTCACCTGCCAAGATGGGAATTCCATTTTCTTTAACAGCTGTGATGTATACAGGTGCAGAGGATTAGGATCTCAGAAATGGGGATCAACCAGAAATGAGGTTATTTATTTGGTTTATTATCCCACATGGTAGTGGGATAATAAACTAAAGGATAAAATAGGCCTACATTCAGCTCAGGGAAATAAATAGAAGCTGGAAGGGGTAGGGGAGCAATGCAAGATTTATAGTTTGGTGAGAGCCAGTGGGCCAGGAGCCACAAGGTTGAAAGAAAGAAGAATCCATTGGTCAGGTGAGTAGAAAAGGTATAAGATCACTCAAAGCAACAATGATCAGATAAACAGACATGTAGCAGATAAGTGGGTAGATAGATATATACAAACAGTCAAACCTGATCATTTTAAGAGCTGCTGGAAAGAATCAGTTTGGGCTCCAGATGTAAATATGGAAGGGAAACAGAAAAGATGTGTTGGAATTGACAAATTGCTCACTTCAAAAAGATGAAAATTGTTATAGTATCACAAGCCCCAATGTGGGGAAGTTCGTTCAATTTCTTCTCAAGAAATTCATTGGATTCAAAGGGTTAACGTGAAAGAGTGCTGTCAATGACAGCAGGCTTTCGGTATTCTTCCTAACAGCTGAGGCACAGACCCAACACCCTGCTCCACACAAAGCTAAGATGGTAAAAGTGAAAGAAACATTATATCTGCCACCTCTTTGTGCACTCAGATTAGTTAAACTGTTTCAAGTGAAAAATCCTGGGTGATCATCTTTACAGCTGCTTTGCCATAGAAAGCATCTGCTGTGGGTCCAAGTGTAAAACTCACACTGCTTGCTAACAGGGGGAGTGTGATCCAGGGAGGATACAGAGATCAGGCTCAGGGTGGGGAATAGTGAGCACCAGGCAAAAGGGTATCCTGAGCTTCTGAGTTGGAAGCTTCTCTAAAAATCAAGAGTAGCTAAGTGTAGATGATGAAATGATGCTCTCAAGCACTTTGTCCACAAGGAACAAGATACATCAGACTCAGCTGCCTCTCCTCCTGTTTACATTAGGGCATGAGATACCAGGGTTATTCAAGTTCTAGTAATGATCAGGCATAGGTAAAGTAATGGTATTCATTAATACAGGTACAACCAGAAAAATCATTGTCATAATTTTTGATATATGTATTTAATTGACATTCAATAATTATGCATATTATGGGATAAAGGGTGACATTCCAATGTATATAACATATAAAGATCAGGGTAATTGGCATATCTTACATCATCTCAAACACTTAACATTTCTCTGTGTTGGAAATATTAAAAACACCCTCTTATTACCATACTGTGCTATAGAAAGCAAAAATTTATTCATCCTATTCACCTGTACCCCTGTACCCTGTTACTCATTCTCTCTTCATTCCTCTCTCCCCCTAATCATTCTTAGTCTCTGGTAACCACTATCTACTGACTACCTGAAGTCAATTTGGGGGGTACTTTCACATGTAAGTGAGAACACACAGTTTAATGAGGGGCAAGAGAGAACTGTAAAAGGAGCCAGAGAAAGATTGGCCACTACTGAAATCACCTAACTCTTGATCTCCTTCTCTATTCCATGATCAAGATGCCTGATCACATCTAGGTCTTTGGATTTTCCTCCCTCTTTGGGACTTGGGGTCAGAATTGCGTTGAGTTGAACTTAAAAGAAGTAGAACGGGGTAGAGATGAACTTTAAAAGAAAAGGGGTAACAGGGTGATGGTGGAGATGGAGCCAGCTACTCTGTGCTCAGGGAGGCTGAATTCTCCACAGAGACAGGGAGAAAGACAAGGAAACTCCAAACATCCAATCTAAAGTAGCAGATGGAAAGGAAAACACCGGAAGTGAGGGACCTGCCATGGAGAGGGAAGGTAGAGGCAGGGAAGGGGAGAGTTGTGGAAGGCCAACCTCATGAATTGGGCAGCCCAGAAATGTCTGTAAGGCCAAGGGTCTGAGGGGAAAAGTGTTCCAAACCAGTTTCAGCTGAATTCATGGTTAAGAAAAAAAAAATGTGTAATGAATGGAACAGCATGATTTGGAATCAGAATCTCAAACAAAATCAGATTGGGAAGACATTCAGGAAAGGGTGCTCAAAGATGCCTAAGACAGCAAGGCCAAAGTAAGCTGAAAAGTCAAGAAGACCCATCATTCTTTCCAAAATAATTTTATTCTTGGATTTAAACCTATGCTTACTCAAATGAAGAATTTTAAGTTAACAAAGGTTTCAGAACTTCTAATGTGTGTAACTAAGATTTTCTTTATACCCACAATAGTTATATAGGAAATAATTTTAAATATGCATAATTTAGAAGAGATTTAGATATTATTGTAGGAAGCAATTTTGTTATGTGGAAACTGATTTTCTCTTTATATTAGAGAATCATCAGATTTATGAAACATTTCAGCTCCTCTTTTATAAAAAGCTGGAAGAAATATTACCTTTCTTGCAAAGATATCAGAGACTGAGAAGAGAAGAGTAGGGATGGAGTGTGGATTCCCAGAAGACCATTACAGTACTTGTTGAGGCTCCCCAGTAACGAAAGAAAAGAAAACAGACATTAAATATAGCAAAGCGAACACCATGTTACAAAACGATCCTAAAAACCTTCTGATTTGCCTACATCGATGCTATGTTGGGATCCCTGCCTCCTAAACATGAAGAGTCTTTTCTGAGTATCTGAGTAATTCCACCATCCTAGGTACAACACAAAACCTGACATGGAATCCATCCCCCCACCATCACCCTCTGCCTCAGGGATCTAGGAAATGAATCAAAGATTCCTCAAGACAAAATTTGTAAAATGATTCATGAATGTTACATTTTAAGATACTGGCACATATTTTTATAGTATGAGAAATCTACAGAACATTTTTTAAACCCCTGTGGAATGAATTATTTTGGTAATTTCAAAAAAACATGGTTTTTTGACAGTGAGAAGACCACACATTGCTTGCCCACAATGTCATCCTGACCCACAGTAAGAAGACCATCCATAAAAACGTCAGCATTAAACTGGCAAAATGAAACAGCAAAAGATCATGAAAGTTCAGCTGTATTTTAAAGACATTGATTTCTTGACTTTCCAAAGGACTTTTTCCTAAAGAAAATTGCAGATGATGGAGAACTACTGTTAATGTTAATTAAGTGGGGACAGCTATGTTTTCTTTAAGCAAACCAAACTCCCAAATTCACTTAACAGGAGAGAATATGCATTTCTCCAAAAGCTCCAGAATCTAAGCTCACAAACTAGAGAGGGTAATCTGCATAAAGGATTGTTAGAGATGCACAAAAAGTTTCAGAAAGACTTTGATTCAAATGAATAAAATGAATCAGAGCTGCCAGATTTCAGATGCTTGATTCTCATTACCATTCAACTTAATATTCTTTTCTATCAACTTTTATTAATATTAGTATTCTATAATGTACAATATTTATAGATATATGTACCCCTTTCATCCCCAGCATACCCATGTACACAAAGTGGGAATTTTAAGTTCTGAAGAGAATTATTTATAGCAGTACCTCTCAATCTATTTATACTGAAGGACTAGCTTTTTTAAAATATTGTTTTATTTTTGTTTGCAATCTCTTAGGGATCAATTTTAATATTCAATACAATAAAAGGATGTTGGAAAATGAAATTAATAAAACAAATACATATAGAAAGAAACCATATTTTTATTATTAAGTTCAAAAGTCATTCTGTCCAATTGCCATAAAAGTTTTAAAATGCCTACTCCCTAAGTTTCTACTTATCTCATCATAGACCAGGAACAATTCTCAGATGGGCACTGGCCACAATTCACCATTTGAGTAGCACTGACTTAGAGGGTTCATATTAACATAAATGATCATGATTTCCCACAGGATGAAAGATATTGAGGTATAGGGGTTAATTCTATGTAGTGGCTATAGCAATAAATGATGGATTTTATTTGTGGAGTACATTTTACTTCCCAAAGTGTTCGCATATTCATGATCTTATTTATCTTCAAAGCACACTGCATGGCAGGTAACTGAAAATTCATTACCAACAAGAAGCCAAAACATCTTCATCATGAAAAGCTTTTAAGTAAAGATGTTCTTGCCTACTCTTTTCTAGTGCTAAAAATCTGGGCAGAACATATCCCGCACAGTGAACGGAGTTACTAACTTTTTTTTTTTTTTTAAAGAGAGAATGTGTGTGTGTGTGTGTGTGTGAGAGAGAGAGAGAGAGAGTGAGAGAGAATTTTTTAATATTTATTTGTTTTTAGTTTTTTTTGGCGGGCACAACATCTTTGTTTGTATGTGGTGCTGAGGATCGAACTCGGACCGCACACATGCCAGGCGAGCGAGCTACCGCTTGAGCCATATCCCCAGCCCCAAACTTTTTTCAACTAATTCAAGAAACATCTACTGAGCATATGTACATGTCATACAGAACTCAGCTTCTGCAGGGAATCTGGGAGGTGAATAAGATGTCATTCACACCTCGATAGGGTAGATGAAGCACATAGTCATTAAGTTTAGTGCAAGGTATAATAGAGGTATTATCTGAGTACCAAACCAAGTGCAAAAGGAATTGAGAAGGATAGGTTAAATTTGGGTTGGGTTTAAATATGTAGCAGCTTTCAGAATTACTAAAATGGATCTTTGATGAAGAAGTAGAATAACATGACCAATGTCACCCAAGTATGAGAAAACAAGGGGAATATGGAAACCATTTCATCTCAGCAGGATTTGTGATGCACCAGATTGGCTTCTTGGAAATAAAGCTGGAAAATCAGATATATGCTAAATCATCCAAGAACTCAGCTAGAAAATTATGGAGTCTGGGTGCCTCTTTTGTCCCATGGTAGTCCTCCATTCAAGGTTCAAGTGAGCCCCTCTGCTCTCAACCTGTATTAACATTGACTAAACATTTAATCACAGTCCACAGAAGGTAATCTTGATCATACAAAGGTTAGACAAGTGATAAATTAAGAATATCTTATGGCAAGACAGAAAATACTATACACACAATAAGTCCTTATTAAATATTTGTGACTCATCCAGTTTCAAGAGGGTTCATCTTGAAACTTTTCCTCTCCCTCTCAGAGCAATTTAAAATCTCTTTTCTTATAAAATCTTCTATTTCCATATTTCTCATCCCATTCAATAAACAAGGACTATCATTAGTATCATCCTCCTTTCAATCTATAGAGCAAAAGAATAAATCATACTTAGATTTCTTTCTCTAATTTGAATAGAACTACACAGAGAGATTTGTTAGATGATAATTGGCATTGGAATAGTCATGTCATGTAAGAGTTGAGGCTCAGTGCCAATCACAGGAAGCCTTTCTAGAGAGGAGAAGCAAACGGAGGAACAAAGACGATAGGAAACACATGGTGTTGGAAAGACAGAACAACTTTGTGACCTTGACATTAAAATCCACTTTAGCTCCTGCTTTACTTGGACTCTTTTTTTTTTCCCCATGGGTACCTGCACAGGTCCTTTAGATCCTTACAATGAACCTGTTTTTAAATTTTATTTAGCTTTAATGAGCTTCTGATCATGAAGACGTATTGTACTTCTAATCTGGCTATGAAGGAAGAAGAATGTAATACTGTACAAACCACTTTCGAATTTTCCTAAACTGCAAATAGGATAACAGAGGCCAGGTATTAGCTATCTCCAGAATTATACAGGCTAATCTATCTTCCCCTAGTTTTTATATATCAGAGCCTGAACATATATAGTTTTAAGCTACGAAATGTTTATTCCCTGATAAAAGGAAATGGATTGAAAAAGATAATCTGGCGAATAATGGCATAAATGTGGTAGATGGATACGACTTTGTAGCTCCCTATACTTTGCTCCATAATGTTTTTTTTAAACCTACCTCAAAATTCAATAGTTATGTTAATTCTTTTTTTTTTTTTTTTGTACTAAGGATTGAACCCAGGGTGCACAACCACTGAGCCACATACCAGTGCTTTTATATATACATATATAATTTAGAGACAGTTGCTTAGGGCTTTGCTAAGTTGCTGAGGCTGGCTTTGAGCTCACAGTCCTCCTGCCACAGCCTCTTTAGCAACTGGGATTAGAGGCGTGCACCACTGCACCCAGCTAGTAATGTTAATTCTGATATGAATTTTGAATTAAAACTAAAAGATTATTTTTTTCTCAATTGAAATAAAAAAGTAAAGCTGACATGTACATAGTAAAATTACAGAATCCTGACCCTGCAAATGGTTGCAGGCTGCAGGATGAAGTATGGATGATGCTCTGTGTATACCGAGACAGGAATTCTCACTGCCAGTCACTCTTACTTACGATGTCCATATTGTCACCTTTGGCCATGAAGGACACCAGTAAATACAGCACCCTCAGGAAAGTAAATGAGGGATCATGGATGCACTGCCAAGAGAAGAAATAAAGTCACCAGCATAGGACAGAACAGGCAATAAGTTTCAGAACATTGAATTTTATGATTAAAAAGGGCTGGTTGCTAATAAAATCCAATGATTATGACATGATTTCCCAAACCATACTTAAAGTAACACCAAGGTTACCCAAACTGAATATTTTCATGGATTCAGATACCAGAAGGCATTTATAGATGTCCCAGCTGCAAAAGTTCTAAAATATAACTATTATATTCAGTTCAACAGAACAGTAAAGCGAAAGCACTTATCACTGGTGACATTC